GCCCAAAGGGCGAATTTGTGAAACACATACGTTTTACGAAGGGAATGGGCCAACTTTTTGCGTCTAGAGGCCCTCTTGGGGCGCATCTTGGATGCCTCTTGGGGCCTCTTGGGGGCCGTCTGGAGGCCGTCTTCGGTGTCTTTGATCGCTCTTGGACCGTCTGGGGCCATATTGAGCTCTCTTGGAGGCCACTCGGAGCGCTCCTGGAGCGCTCTTGGGGCCGTTTTCGGGGCCCTCTTGGGCCGTCTTGGACGCCTGCTGGCCCGTCTTGGGGCCCTCTTGGGCTATTGTGGGGCCCTCATGGAGGCTTCTTGGGCCGTCTTGGGGCGGTCTTGGGGGCCTCTTGGGCCGTCTGGGAGCATCGGAAAACCCAGAAGCCGAACTTGTGAAACATGTATGTTTAACGGAGGGAATGGGCAAATTTTTGCGTCTAGGGACCCTCTTGGGACGCATCTTCGAAACCTCTTGGGGCCTCGTGGGGACCTCTTGTGCCGTCTAGGAGGCCTCGTAGCCCGTCTTTGGGCCACCTTGGGCGTCTTGGAGCGCTCGTTTGGCGTCCCGGGGCCATTTCGAGGCCACCGGAAGGGTCCTCGCAGGATTTTCGGGAGCGGATGACCCCCCCGGGGGATCCGGCCGGACCCCCCCCCCCTCCCAATCGACCGGACCGGGCTCCCGGGGGAGGGGTTTGGGGAGGGGGAAGCTCTCACGCGCCGATGAACCCCAAGGGGTCGGCGGATTAGTTTAATGTTTTTGATGATGCTGATGATGATACTGATGCTGATGCTGATGCTGATGCTGATGCTGATGCTGCTGCTGATGATGAGGATGATGATGATGATGATGATGATGATGATGATGATGGTGATGGTGATGATGATGATGCGGATGATGATGATTATGATGATGATGAATGATGATGATGACGATGATGATGTTGATGATGATGATGATGGTGGTGGTGGTATTTGTGGTGGTGATGATGATGAGGAGGAGGATGAACATGCTGACGGTGAGGAACATGATTTATGATGATGATGATGAGGAGGAGGAGGAGGAGGAAGAGGCCGAGGAATAGGATGATGATGAGGAGGAGGAGGAGGAGGAGGAGGAGGAGGAGGAGGAGGAGGAGGAAGAGGAGGAGGAGGAGGAGGAGGAGGAGGAGGAGGATGAGGAGGAGGAGGAGGAGGATTCGGCTGATGCGCCAAGGTATAGCGAGAAGACAACTCAGTCACTGCTATCATCATCCGCACGCTGCGCACTGCCGACAGACAGACTGCCAGCAGCTCCTGCCTGCTCACTTCCTCCCTCCTCCCGCAAAGAGGCCGCAACAATTGTAGGGGCAACTCCTCCAGCGGCCTGTGAGAGGAAGGCGCTGGCAGAAGCACAAGAGGGCGGCGGGTCGTCGTCGCTGGCCAGCTGCATGGAGGAGGCCACGTCGTGGGACGCGCGCGCGGACGAGACTGCAACATAGTCATCAACGGGTGGCGGTCCCAAATGTGGCCTATTGGCCCCTCCAGGAGCCCGAGACGCAGAGACTGCCAGCGCGGATGCCGCCGCAGCGAAGGCCGCGGGTGGGGCTCGGTGGGGCGGGAAGAGGTTCATATGGATCCCGGATAGGTTCTCATGGCCCTTCTTGGTCGGGCCCTTCCCTCCAGCACACTCATTGGCAGGATGGCGTCCGTCAGAGGTCACCGTGAAGCCGCAAACCAAACACATATCGAAAGAACGTTCCTTCTTCAGGTGGAGCCGGTGCGACGCATGGAGCCTCCCTCCTGCAACAAACTGAGCACCAAGCAGCGATTCAAAGAGGGGAGTTTGTGTTTTACCCCTCGTGGTAGGCGCGTTTTGAGCTTTAGCAGTAATCCCGCTGGGGTTTTTGTGAGTCGGCTCCGTGGGACCATCTCGCCTGCCTTCCCTCCTCAGTTTTGTGAGGATCGAGGTGAGGACGCGGTTTCGTTTCCGCCCGCTGCATGGCATGCGTGGCTCGCGATTCGGGGGGGTACAACGGTACACGTAGCGGAGACGTTTATGCACCGAAGGGGAGGAAGGGGAAGAGGAGGAGGAGGAGGAGGAGAAGGAGGAGGAGGACTAGGAGGAGGATGAGGAGGAGGAGGAGGAGGAGGAGGCGGAGGAGGAGGAAGAGGAGGAGGTAAAGGATGAATGATGAGGAGGATGAGGAGGAGGAGGAGGAGGAGGAGGAGGAGGGGATGAGAAGGAGGAGGAGGAGGAGGAAAAGGAGGAGGAGGAGGAGGAGGAGGAGGGGGAGAGGCGGGAGAGGAGAGAGAGAGAGGGAGAGGAGAGAGAGAGAGAGAGAGAGAGAACAAACAGGAAGCCGAGCCGGACCATGACGCGGAGGCGGAGGGGCGGAGGAGGAGGGGGAGGATGAGGAGAGCAGGAGGAGGATGAGGAGGAAGATGAGGAGGAGGAGGACCAGGAAGAGGAAGAGGAGAAGGCGGAGGAGGAGGAGGAGGTCGAGCATGATGATGATGAGGATGATGAT